AAAATTCTTTTTTTAGATTTTTCATACTCTAGTACTTAATCAGGCGCAAGATGCAGAAAGCCGTAATGTCCAGTAAGTTAAAAAATAAAATTTGTAATAAAGGCTCTGTTTACTTGCGGCGCACACATATACGAACGAGATACTGCTTGTTGTAAGGCTTTTTTTTTTCTTCTACTTAGTAATTTATGCGAGTGCCTTTGCAGTTGCTTTTAAATAGTAGTATTACAAATAAACATGGAATTTCGGTCAGGATCTCCGGTTTATCTCGATTTAGATCTGAAGGTATGTTTGATGGGAATCAGTAGCTATTTATATGCGAGTGAATAATATATAGTAAACAAAAAAAATCTATAAATACTATAATTTTCAATATTGAGACCGTAATTTTAGTACCAATTAATTCAAGTAGGCTACATATTTAGAACTTTTGATATATTGAGAAATGTGGCTTTCCACAAATCATTGAGAATTATTAATGCTGTGAGGCTGGGCATGCACGATATCTTCAGTGTTATAGACTAAAAGCCAAACGCAAGCGAACACTTCATCTATGCCTTAACGACCGACTCGCAAGTCTCCAGACCACGTTTATATTTGGCAAATATAGAAGGAATTGCTAGTGTTATTGTAACGTGAAAAACTGCTTCAAAGGGTATGTAAATACACAGATGCATTCACGTGACACATTGTCTCTATCGGGCTAAAAATACTTGGAACCCTTTTGGAATACATTGGACTATATCCACATATAAATAGTCTAATGCCACCTTAATTTAACCTATTTTTTTGAAAGCCTATTATATTGTTATTTTGGTTAACCATGGCACCTTCACCAACTTCAGATCTTTTGTTATTAAAGGAACACGAATACTATAATACTGGGGACATACGATTAGTCCTTCCTTTTTTGCAGGACAACGAAGGTTATAGTAGTTCATCGGAACGAAATATTTTACTATGGATAATTGTATTTGTGATAGTAGGATTGTTTATAAGTAAAAGAAAATCGTGGATGAGACATAGTACAATCGAATATAAGAAATTGAAAGTATTTATTCTACTGCTAAACAAATAGAGATATATTGATTAGACACCTGTCAATTTCATCAACTCTATGTCCCAAATATTCCAGTCATACCAAAACATTGGGGGGATAATGGTGAATAAATGCCAAATAGCATGGGCATCGAGTAGCCTCAACCATGGAGAGAAGTCTAATAACTCGAATGACATACCTACAAGAAGCCACAAGTTCAATAAAACAGGTAGGATAGGGATGTATTTCGATTCGGATAAAGACAAATAGTTGAGCTTCGAGAGGAGCTTTGTTTCGAATGGTAACAATTGCATTGAGTTATTATACATACGGAAATCCTTCGTGTGTATATTTCTTACCCGCATAGCATGCGCAACCCATAAGACCATAGCCATGATACCGAAGGAAAGATTGAAGTAAGTGTTGTATTGATAATCCCACTTATTATGCAACTTGATACAGTGGAAAACAAAAATCACTGCTAATGAAGATTGAAATATCAATCTTTGCTTTCTTTTTGAAGGTGTGAAAAGTCTGAAGTAGCGGATACTTATGGCATTGAAATTCAAAAGCATGATCATTGCAGCACCGAAATAATCCAATGTTTCTGTGAGTGAGGTATCTCTCATATGGAATAAAGTACTGAAAGCCCACCCTACCAAAGACCCCACTATTAAATATATGTATTGCTTATAAATAATAAATGAATCGTTTCCACTCTTATAATTCTTATTGTATTGTGTTAAAATCTTGGTGAGACTGTTAAAATTGGTATAGTAATTTCCGATTGAAAATATAGTCAGCATAATTTCTGTTATTCCCAAGATACGAGTGAAGGGCCATTTTCCATAAAACTGAACCATTGGTAATCCTGATAACTCACGTTGATTAGTTACGAACTGTTGACATTTATAGTCACAGTCCAGCATGCAATCCCACAGGAACACTGTTCTCGTTATCCATGATAATCTATAGTTACCTTGAAAATCTTTCAAAGAATATTGTGGTAACTCTTCTCGTTCATTTATACTTCTAGTATCTCTCTTTTCAGGAGGTTTCACTGGATGTGCAACTGGTTCTATATTTTCTTCCGCCAGTTGTTGCTGAGCTTCAATATGCTCGAGAATAGTAGCATGATTACAATCCATTAGCTTTTCGCATTGCAAAAGACAATCTTGAAACCCTGGGAGTCTATCTCCCTCTGATGCTGCTATCGGCACTGCTAGCAACAATAAATAATAGAGCTTCATTGGTATTGTATGCTTGTTCTTTTCCATAGTAAGTTTTTCATTACTGTTACCGAAGTATTAAATAAACTATATACAGTACGGCAAATAGTGCAAGGACCATATCGTATACCTGCTGTAAGACTTAAAGGGGTATATTAGTACTATACATATCCAGGAAATCAATGCCTTATACTGTTCTTTCGAGGATAAGTTAGGAGGCTTCAAATGTAGAAAATATGATGCAAGCTATAAAAGGTCTGGTTGACATCGAATCTCCAAATAAATAGGAGATGAATACTCGGCTTTTGACACGAAGATTACATGGGTATTCTGATTAACTGATATAGTGCAACATTCAAGACTTCCTTTAGATAGGAATATGCTGAGCGTTTATTATTACTACATATTTTCTTGAGATACAATACTCCAAATATTGGGCACGAGCAAATTTCTGGTGGAGTAAAAAAAAAGAACAGTCCAACGCAATGAAGAATCTTTCAGCTAATTTGGAACCTTGATAGACGAACTGTTACTTTTGTTGCTATCTATACCGAGATTTTCTTGCTCTCATAATTCTGTGCGTGGCCTGGTTCCTGGTTTCCTTTTTCATATCTAGCAGTTCCCAATCCAGTTCTCGTAGAGTCTCCTCACTAAGTTCTTTCTACACACTCTCTACGTATTTACGTTTAATAATACTAATGTAACTATACTTATAGTCACTGCCATGAACATTCTTCGTTCTGTACCATATTTGAGCCAAGAATGACATATAATTGTACCAAGTATTCCTTGACCCCCATGTTTCAATCGTTAAAAAAAAACCGCAAATTGCTATGAATACCCCAAATAAAGGGAGTATTCATAGATTTATTGTCCCATTCCTCCTCCCGTACTAGTTATTGTTTGCTAATCATATCATTCACTTAACTATGTTCCTTGGAAGAGGGTTATTGCTATCTATTGTTCTACACGTGAGACGAGATAGTGATATTTTTGTTCTCCGTATTTCTGATATACAAACTAGCTATTACAGTATTCGATTTGGGTTAACACTACAGTGAATATCATCTCATATTCTGGCTTTAGTTAGTTTATATTGGATGCCATGTTTATGCCTTATGCTATTGGTGCATTTACTCAGCATTCGACAGAGAATAATATTCGAAAATACTGTTAAGCCGCAGAAAATGCCATTTTAGAAAAGCCGCACGGTCCGCATAAATTTTTTTTTAAAATTTTTTTTTTTTCAGAGGGGAGCTATATACTATATAAACATAGAAAATCTTTCATTTTGCCATTCGAAATTTTTTCCAGCTGGCAATTAGTTAAGTGGCATAGATAAGTTGCATTTCAATTCTTGCTTTGTTAGGATAGACCATTGACTAGAATACTTAGTATACAACTCCTAATATATCAATCAACTAATTCAATTTGCACTTAACACCGAATAAATATCGTTTGCTTATAAGAATTTTTAAGGATTTATATGACAATTCGTAAGTCAGCTCGTACCCGTACATTAACAGAAAAGGTTAAACCTATTAGGCAGACGACTAACAGTTTAGAGCACACAGCTAAAAAGAGGAAATTGAATGTTGAAGAAGATGCAGATAAGATTGACCCAGTAGAGAAGTTACTTAGCTTGACTAACTTGAACAATGATATCTTGAATGTGGATGAACCATCACCCGTGAACTACATGAATATTGCAAGCAATAATTCTACGGAACAGATTTCCTTGAACTTCACTAAGATTTTGAACGATAACTTGAGGGCATATTATTCTAGATTGAACAAGAATCCCTTGGAAGTATACAATGACAATTCTACATTTGGTTTATTGAATAAACAACCAACTGCCAAAGTTGATCATGAAACTGCTCCAAAACACTTTGACGTTCCTTTTTTTAAGAAGGTTAACTTTAATTCTAACTCCAAGTCATACACTTTCGACGAGTACTTAGCATATGATGATTTGACTGACACTGACGAGTCAGATGAAGACAAATCTCCTATCACCCCTATTTCCTTGCCCCCACCATTGAATGGCAAGATGAGTTTCCACTATAGACACAACGATAACTTGAATTTGTCGTTGAACGAGCATCCTGGTAGTGAGCCTCAAGATATTTGTAAGATATTGAACAAAAATTGTTTAATCTCTGGTAAAGCTAGTGAAATGGTTGGCACTGGTAATTTTATGATAAATGATTTTTTTCTTTAAATGATTCCTTGTATAGTATTGTATACTTTCGTTCTTTAATTAATTATTTATTGTGTATTTTATATATTTCATCTTGTATAGTTTTAATTAATATTTTGCTGTCTAATCTCACTCGCAATCTAAATGCGAGTCCTAATTAAAAAGTTAACATTTGTCTCTAACTCTTTTTCCATTAACATCATGAGTTTACTAGGATATATTTACATCTATTTGCTAGGTGGCATAACATTCATACCAATAGTTATATTTCTGTTTATTTATCTTCACCCATTAGTAGATGAAGCCAGTGATGAAATCGATGAAGGAGAGAAGAAAGTGAATGTTGGAGAAATCGAAGAAAAGGAATCAACGGGATTGAAAACGTACAGATCGGGATGGATCACTGTTACACAGGATTATATTGAGTCAATTGAAGATATTTCTTCGAACACTCAGTCAATAAGTGAATCAGCTGAAAACAAATCAGCCTATTCTTCGTTATACAAATTAGTTAAGAATTCTGATACGGAATCATCATCCACAGTTGAAACTTCTAATATACCGATCGAGGGAAAAAGTGATACTACAGTTAAGAAATCACAAAAGAAACACAGATTTTATGCGGTTCTTAAACATGGTAATTTGTTTCTATACAAGAATGAGAGTTTGAAGGATGTTAAGCATGTTATTGTGTTGTCTAATCAAGTAGTTTCCGTATGGCCGCGAGATATACCAGATGGCCAACTTTTCACCAAAGCTACGGCTATCTGTATTATGAAACGAGACTGGTCAAGAAAGAGAAGAATGTCAGAAGAATTTGAGAATGAAATGATTACTACAAGCGACATCTTGACGATGAACTTGCAACCACCATCGGGATCTATATTTGTATACTGTGATACTAACATTGAAAAAGAAGATTGGTATTTTAGCTTAGTAAAAGCTACTAAGACGGAATCAGAATCTAAGAACTTAAATCCTCTGGTATACGCAAAGACTTTACATTTCGAAACGGATGATATGATTAGTCTAATTCAAACGTTATACAGCTCGGAGGGCCAGTGGCAGACAAAATGGTTAAATGCAATGATAGGTAGATTATTCTTGTCTTTACAGAAAACTGAGTTTTTGAGGGAATTCTTGAAGAACCGTTTGAATAAAAAATTAAATAAGATCAAAAAGCCTGGATTTTTGGACACTTTCAAGCTTGTCAAGCTAGATGCTGGAGTTGCTGCTCCTTTTATAACCTGGCCAAGCCTACGTGAAATCAATCCTAATGGAGACCTTGTTGTCAAATTATTTTTTCATTACCATGGAAAGTTATCATTTCAAATATCGACGAAGGTTAATATTAATCTTGGTTCACGATTCAAGCCTAGGGAGGTTGATCTATTATTATCAATTACCATTGAAAAGCTAGAAGGTCCAATGTTGGTAAAGTTTAAACCTCCACCATCTGAAAGAATTTGGTATTCATTTGAAGGTGAGCCTTTGATCAATTTAAAAATTGAACCAATAATAAGTTCGAGACAGCTCACATATAACATAATTACCAATTCAATCGAGAAGAAATTAAAAGAAGCTATTAAGGACTCGCTCGTTTTACCACATTGGGATGATTTTGTATTTTATAATACTACGAATGAAATATATAGAGGTGGGATTTGGGATAAAGATATTAGACCAAATAAAAGAGTAGACAAAAATGAATCTTTGGACATTGAAGAATCACAACAGCAGTCAGAAGAAGATGCTGATTCGATAATCGAAGGAAGTAATTTGCCAAAGCAAACCACATCAAGCAGTTTAGCAGTAAATAAAACAGGAGATATTGTACCGCCTGTGAAATCCAATACCACAATTTCAAAACTAAGAATCTCAAATACTTTAAATGATATTTCCAAGAAAATGAAAAAACAAAAATCAAATACAACTCTTGGCGTAAACGAAGACAACTACTATTCTGACGGATCGTTCGTCGAATCTTCTAAAACCATCGATCATGATTTATCTGACCCGACCAATAATAAAAAGTCGACTATCAATACATTGAAGAAAATTGGAAAATGGTACTTTAAAGATGAGAAATCGATTCCAGAAAATGAGAATTATACACCTCCAGAAATGATTCTGAGTCGGAGAGCAGTTAAGAAATCTGGATTAGATACTTCGAAGTTCCTTCAGAATTCGGATTTACCTTCATATGAGATGTTCAATAAAGACTTGAATTATGACAATACTTCAAAGGAGGCATATAATCAAATTAATTCTACGGGAAGATCAAGAGGAAATTCTAAATTAAGTTTAAGTAGTACAGAAAAGCTGTTAAGTTTAAATAATGATCATGAGGGAGTTATTAATGGCTCTGTCGAAAATCAGCCGATTGGATTAAACATTGATATCGATGATAGTGATAATCTTAACCTAAAGGATGACTCAAAAGTTGCTTTATCATCAGCCTTTTCTCCTACTAATGTAAGTATTTTATCTGAAAGTTTGACTGAAGAGCACCATTTGCCACATCAGAGACACAGAAAACCTCCCCCTGAACCTGTACCAAAGACTCCTCCACAATTGCCCCCAAGAGAGATCAATGGAATCATTGAAGATATTTCCAGACTACTGAACACCTCACAAGGAAACAAAGTGAACGTAATAAATGAAGCACAAGAGGTGAAAAAGGGAGAACTTGAAAATAGAAGTAACGAGAATGATAATGATATAGATGATCTAAGTATTTAGAAATTTAGATATTTCGATGCTATTTGCATATATAAAAATAATAAATTATGTATATGCTGCCCATCCACCATACATTTGGCATAACTTTTCTACTGCTGATGCTTCCTGTATGAGTATATCAACTTGACCGTGAATATTCATTGGTAAACCCTCATTCTCATCTACTAATCCCCTAATCTTTCTTCTAACTTTTCTTAAATGGTCTTGAGGATTTTGCTGCGTCTTCCAATCTAATAATGGATCATATATAAGAGTTTCTAAGATATTCATCAAAGAAGCTTCATTTTCTCTCAATATAGACCCAGTAACTTCACAAGTAATTCTAAATGACCCTTCAATTCCACTAATACCCATAGCATCTACCATGTTTTGGGTTAGTCTAAAAGGCACAATTTCAGGTGTAGGTAGCGTTTTACCTTTTTCGAATAAGCAATCAAAGTCAATGTGAAGAACTGAGCCCGTTTTCTTGAAGAATAGTATGTTTTCGCAATGTCTATCTCCAAGACCTATTATGTACCCAACTATTGACATTACAGCAGACGACCTGGTAAATGAAGTTCTCGCCAAGTACCATGTTCTAGGATCTGAGAATTGATTAATAAACCAATTATGTAAAACTGGAGGTGTACTCTTACATATATTTTCGAATAACTCAACAAGAGTATTTAGAGCAGTTTGGTCGGACGAAGGTTTATTCTTGACCATTTTTTGAGCTTCATCAAGTTTCATGAAAAGCTTTCTATCATTAGAGGGCTGTCCCATTCGTTTTCGCTGATCATTTATAATTCCTTTCATTGTTGCAACATCTTGTACAAATTCAATCACTCCCATATTTTCTGCTAGTGGAACAACTGAATAATTAGCAATACTTAGATTTCGCTTTCGAGCTTCGGTACTGGCTGACAATAACCTATTAATCATAGTTGTAAACTCAACAACTTTGGCATCTTTTCTTGTATCATCTTTTTTTACCATAAGGAGGTACGTTAACCCATTTGAACCCCTTATAAACACTTGTCTAGGCATTTGTAAAGAATGAAAAATGTTCACCATATCATCAAATCCTTCGAATGTAACACTAGAAGGCTTCGGGAAGGCACTTGCAAAATTTTTAGTATGCTTTACAGAAGGTAATCTAATTTCAAGATTTGACCTTACAGGTATGACTAATGAATCATAGCTTTCATTCAAATTATTAATGCCAAAGTCATTTTTTATTGACATTCTTCTAACAGTCTTTTTCAGTATTTTAAAACCAGCAAGCTTTATAAGACTGCTAAACAAATCTCTTGCACTTTGGATGTTGGATGCCAAAGATGAATCTGAAGATTGCAACTTTTTGAGAATTCCGGAAACTCGTTGCTTTCTAGTAGAATCATTTGAATTTAAATGCGATAAGACATACCATAAACCATGTTTAGGATAGGCTTGAACAAGTTTAAAAATTACCTGGAAAAGAAGCTGGGCTGAAGGATTGTGTTTATGTCCAATTCTAGACAATATCTGAGTTATCGACGTGTACCATACATATACTGGAATGACATCAATATAAGAACTAATATCTAGAATGATCTGATTCATTATGCGTTCGGATTCTTTAGACTTTTTTTGTTGTTGTGCAAAATCAAGCCAAATTGTAATAAACTTAGGTAAAGCTTCGAATATGAAAGATGGGCCTAGTGCTAAAGCTTTTAAGAAGAATCTAATAATTTGCTGTTCGCAAAACCCACTTACGTCTGATTGAGATTCTTTAATTTTATTATAATATTTTCCTAAATCATAAAATGGCTTTTCCCAAGTACTTTCTAGCTTATAAGCTTTCACATATTCGGAAATGATAGTAGCTGATGAACTATGGTTTGATTCATCTAACCACTCAGCATACTGGAGTTGCACACTAGCCTTCTGCTGTTTGCTTTTGAATTGGTCATCGGAAATTATTTTGGAAAGTGACTTAATAGCTTCTGTTTGTCTACCTTGTGCCCACAATAACTCAGCATATTCAATATTAGCACCTTGATCATTTAATGCCATAGCTTTCATGATACTTCTGGTTGAAATATCTAGCCTCTCATTTTTTCTTGCAACCTTTGAACAAAAAAGTAATATATCAGATATTTTGTTCTTGTCTTCCATTACCATATAGGCCACCCTATGCATAGCTAATATTTTCCACTGAGAATCAAAGCCTTGATCAATATTTTTGATTCTCTCCTTTAAAATACTTTCATTTTCTCTTCTAAGAGACTCGTTAAGGAATGGATAATTGGAAACTGTCAAAGATAAATCAAACATAATATGTAACTGTGCCATTAAAACTGAATTCCTGGAAAACGATGAAGACATAGAGGAGACCAAGGAAGAACCGATAGTTCGATAAATACTTTCCATGCATTGCTTGAATTCTTCATTTTTGGATTCATACAAGAATTTCAAACCCTTGGCAAATTGATAATTAGTTAAAGTTTCAACATCCTGCGGTTTACCTATAGAATCTGTAATGTAAGTCCATTTGTCGATTTGATTCTTATCACCAGACACAACAGCCGCTTGAAGACCAACCATTGACCAATCGAGTGGTATACTATTTAAATTATCAAGATCAATCTTTGCTGCCAAAGTAGAAAGCACTTCATCGTATAATGCATGTTCACTTAATGATTTTAAAAGCTTTGTATTATTTTTTATTTTATTTTGCTCATTACCAGTCTCACTCAAAACTTGAAAAGATTCTTGCGCTAGAGACCAATTTTCATTATATTGGAAAGTAGTTAATTTTTCAGTCAAGTTATTCGTTGAAAACTTTTTCAAAATACCTGCAAGAGCATCAAAATCATTGATATTTGAGTACATACTTTGCAAAGTACTAACAATATTTAGATTATCTATTAAATAAGATTCATCTACTCTGCCATCTCTATAACATTTTTCCAAGCATAAGATAGTTCTCTCATAAGAATCACATTCCGCTGATTTGATGGCAATTAAGTCCATTGGTATACTCTCCAAAAATATCCCAACAAAGGCAATGTTCTTCTTAAGTCTAATAGTTTCTGCTTTCAGTAATTGAGAGTCATTTAAGAACTGTGTTGCAGCCGAAACCCATTCGTTACAATAATCTAAAACTTCAAAAATCGATTGGTAACACAATTTTAGCTGCTCGACTCTATCGGGGGGTAATGAAGAGGAATCTATGTGTAAAATATGCAAAAATTCTGTTTTGATATCTGAAGCAACAGATTCGTCACCATTAATTATATGGCTCAAAGCAATATATTTTAAGAGATATTGGCATATTGATATATCTTGGTTTCGTGCTAGCATTGAACAAGTTTGAAATATCACGCATTTTGTTTCATTTGGCGTTTCAAGGACACTTTTGAGAGGCCTCTTAAGCAAATTTGAGGTGAAATCAATAAGCCATTTTTCATGGTTTGATCCAACTTTATAATATGGGAATTGAACAGGTTCAAATCGTGATATTGGCGATACATATTTTGATGATAAAAGTGGAGTTAACGTAGATTTTGCCACATCGCTGAATTTTTTCCATGTCTCAGCTAATAAATCTTGACTGGTTGGATTAAGTACACTGTTATCTAGTCTCAAAACTTCTAAAAACTTCTGCATTGAATATGCTGAAAATAATTGTTTAACTGGATCGTTGGACGCCCAAAATAGTTTGATAACTCTATTTTCCATAAAGTGTCTCAAAAAATCAGCATTTTCTTTATAATCATGGAAATCATGTATAATCATAACTTGATCCTTGATTGTTTTCAAATTAAACTTGTTTGAATCTAATGCTCCTATAATTGCGAGGGATTTTGCACAGCTCGTAGAAATTTCATTATCATCATTTTTGAATTTAGAAGCCGTATCCAACAAAGTTCGCATAAGTTCAGCTATATAGTTTTCAAGTAAGGGGTCTTTGAAGTCTTCGATCTGACATCTTTCCTGATATTTCGTCGTATAATTGATAAGGTCATCCAACGCTTGTTGAACAACATATTTATTACTTGTTTTCAACCTTCTGGTAAATTCTGGGAAGTAACTAGTTTTCGATCTTGGCTTTATCAAGTTTCGAAAGCTTGCATCTAGTTTATAGTACTTATCTAAATTTTCAATAAATGGCACCGAAAAGTAGTAGAGTGAATATTTGTTATATTTATCTCTCAACTCTAGAAATAATTTTTTTAAAATATCAACAGCTATCAATTTAGATCTGTGTTCTAGTTTATTAAATTTTTGAAATATTAAGGAAATGATAATGTCGAATAGTGATATTAAATGATTAGTCTGTAAATTCTGTACAAGTACATTCCAGCACCTAATTGCAGGTAATTCAAAATCAGGATTTTCCAAAGTTGCCTGTAAACATGTAGATATTTGACCCAAAGCCGAAGCAGCAGCAGTAGTATTCTTACTAATAAGAAATTCAATGGCTCTTAAAGAACTAACCTTTTCGAGGAACGGTTTTGTACCTTTTATATGATGTACGTTCTCAGAGAATCTTTGAACTAATTCTAAAACATGATCTCCCAAAAGATTTTCAATGTAATCAAAATCTTTTGGAACCCTAGTTTTGCTGCTTCCGTTTTTTAACATATTGATCTTTGAAACATACCTTAAAGCATTCAATATTTTTGCTTCATTTTGAAAATTTCCTTTTTCGTCTATTTGGATCTGAAGTAATATGAACCACGTTATCTCTCCAACGCTAGAAATTAAATCAGTCATTGATAAAGTTTTATATTCAGGGCTAACATTACTCAAGACGTTGATGATATAGGGTTCGTTGATCGTATCATCCTTGCATAGATATGTTGCCATGATTCTGGGCAAATGCCTAGTAATTAATTTCCATTTTGATATTCCTGAAGCTTCTGCTATTTCATGTATAAAATCATACTTGTAATATTCCAAAAATCTAGGAGTAGTGTACTCTTTTGTTCTATTTAAGAAATACTTCTTTGAAACTCCTAATAATTCTGTAATTTTTTGAAGCATTCGGGGTTGCTTTACAATTCGTTCCGCAATACTTGGTAAGAATGGTGAAAGAAGTTTATATGGTGTAAGACACTTAGCTGCTGCAACGTTTAAAAACTCACTGTAAACTAAGTTCACATGTTGTTCATTTGCTTCTCCGAAGAGATCAATTAATTTAATAAACAAAACACATAGCCATTCACCTTCAGATATAATAGCCAATTCACCTAAAGCTTTGATTGTTGACTCAGCAAGGTATATTTTTCTGCTTTCGTTATCAAACTTAATTTGAGAAACCTCCCGAAACACCGAACGAAAACTTGCTTCAAGGATTTCATCTTTAGGTGATATCAAATAAAGAGGTAGTATCCTCGTAGAAAGTATCCTTACATCTCTGTTAAGACTCTGATTTAAGCATTTCATGACAAATCTAAAAACTATGTCTTCGTTGTAGTTATATCTTGTAGGAGGTTTAAAGGAAACAAAAAGCTTGAAAATTGTCAATAACATATTAGAGCACAATAATGGGTCATTTTGAATAATATTCATTTTATCACCCAACAAGAAGTCACAGATAATATTTTTATAATATACTTGCATTTCTTGCTGATCCGTAACATATTTTCTGAGTGGTGATACAGTCTCATAGTATGTCTTGTTCAGAGGACAATTACCACATCTTGTACATTCTTCAATCTTAAAGTGATAATCACCATTAACAAGGCATGGAAAATGACCTAAAGAAGTTATAAATGTAAATAATGTAGATCTTTTATCAAAGATCCTATTGTCGCTGTTATCATCACGAAGATCAAGATCAATAAGATTCTTAACATGTGTAATCCAAAAAGCAAAATTAAACTGCTCATTATTATCATTATCAGAAATCATAGATTTTGGTATGGCTATGAAATATAGTAAGTTGCATATTATTTTATTTTCATGGCTCAATTTGTAAGAATACTCATTCAATTCTAATTTTAGGGAATCTAGTTCGAAGTCGTTGAATGGAGTAATGACGAACTTATTAGTTCGGTAAAAATTAATGATTCTTAAATTGTCGGTGGTGATACCGTACTGATAGTTGATTACATGCACTGATTTGATAATAATTTCAGGAAACTTAGTATGCTTGTTAGAAATTGACATTATGAATGAATTGAGTTGGAAAGAGTTGACAAAAGATTCCAAGCAGTCTTTTTCTCGACATAATTGAAAAACCCTCATTAAACTATAGCTTACTGATCTGTTTAAGGCAACTAACTGTGAATTGTAAGTGTTTGAAGTATTTTCATCAAATGATTTGATATGGTCAATAATCCAGTTAATAACCAATGAAATTTGGGACCAATTAACTGATTCATTAATCAATAAATTGTTTGTTAGGTTTAAAACTAATACCGATTTTAGGTTGTCTAATAATCTTAGATTCTTGTCTGCTTCATTCAAAACAATCAACTTTAGATCAATCAGGTTGAGAATGAACCATAATTTTCTAGCAAATGATTCAAATTTTAATTCCATACTATTTATGTTAAGTAATAGTTTGACAGACAAGTCATAATCATTTAGGATGGAGTATAAGTGAACAGTTCTCGCTAGATCTTTCGAATAAGTAGAATTGAAGTTTGATAACGAATTCGCTATACTTAATTTATTGAATAGATTGTTTAAGTCATCATCAAATATTCGTAATAACTTAATTTTGATCTGATTCTTGTACCTAAAATTATGCAAAGTTGTCGTTACCAAATTAATAATATCTATAATATAACTTTTGACAATATTAGTTATTTCATTATTGCCGTCGAATGGTGCTATGTACTTTAAACCAAAAAAAATGGCCCATTCGTATAACAATTGGGGGTCACTTTGAACATCATTACCTGTATCAAGACCGAATATTTGTGCATCTTCTTCACTTGTTATTTCAATATTAAGCAAATGCTTTCTTTTAGCTAAAACTAACTCAATAGTACTTATTAACCTTTTAAGGAGGGTTATATTTTCACTGAAATTCAGATCATCTTTCTGCTGTAAAACTTGTAACTTAGAGCTGGTGAATCCATAAAGATACAATATTAATTTTTTGAAGTCGGTATTGTCATCGTGGGTTATATTTCTGTAAACATCATCTAAGAATAACGTCAACTCTGGCAGACTGATCTTTTGATAGGCTGAAACAGACATGTAATAGCGTTAGAATTCATTAATAGAATAAAAACATTAACTTCTTTTACGCGCACAACTAACGGTTTACAATTATATACTCGATATAAAAAATACAAGGATTTATTAGAAAAGGTATAAATACATATAACGATATATAAGAAAATGCAGATATGACAATTGATCATAATTTAAAAAGTTAATGCCATAAACTCCTATTGATTACCATCTCTATGTGAAAACAAAGAATTCAAAAGACTCAATCACAGACAAAGTGATATTATTACACATAGCATATTTCAATTAGTAGGAGCTAATCGGGAACATAACCGAGTTATTATTGGGCGTAGTTTACTGGTCGGGTTTTATTGGCCATAGTTAATTGGTCTTTTAAAAAGTAAAATATGTGGTTCTGGAGCATGCGTTTCATAATGTGCCCATCCCAATGACTGAGTAATGCCTAAACCCCTCCATTCTTCTTCTTGTAATATTCTCAAAGTTCCAGTCTCGGGGTTGAAGTAATCTTGTGGTATCGCTTTTAACATATTTTTGGGCAACATAACATGTCTATATTCGTGGGTATCGTCGCTGTATCTTGGACTATAATGAATCATATCCTGAAATTCGAGGATTCTAGCTCTTTCATTATCTGTTAGGTATCTAGGTTTACTCATCTTTGTATATTTGATTGTATTAATTGTTGTCCTTTTTAGCCGATTTTCATGATAACATTTATTAAACGAAAAATTAGCGTTATAACTGAAAAATCAACGCGTCCCAACCTTACATAATCAATGTGACAAATTGTTAACTGATGATTATGACATTACCATAAACGGCTAACAATACTATGAATAACGTTTATTATGGGGTGAAAACTAATAGATATGAAGAAGAAAATTTAATATATCTATTAAAAACGGGATCAGTTTGTTGGTAATACCGTGGGATAGCTTTAGGAGCCTCACAAATAACTTGATATTGCTGAACTCGATTGTATTATTGTCTAGTAGAGTTGATGGTTTTTGGGAGAACTTAGCTTTTCAGATGAGACAAGTACAATGCAAATACTATGCTTTTTTAGTACCTGAGGAATTTTATCACTTAGAACACGATAAGATTCGATTGCAACTCATTGAATTGGTGACTAGTTTACCCACAGGGGCTCACATTTCCTTGATTATACCTTTAACGGGAGATTTTATGCATTACGAATTCTGGAATAACATAAAGATAGAAAATGTCTCTGTTATGCTCTATTTATCCCAAGAAGTTGATGATTGTATAATTAGAAGATGGTGCACTGAACCTATTAGTGCAGTCATGGTACATGCTGCAAAATTTGTACATGAGTATAAATTTCCCGTTTTGCCTGATTATTTGCAAGTGATGCTACGAAAGTTCATCACAAAGTCTCCACCTGCTGTTATACTAATGTCTGATAGTAATCAAATTACTTATATCAACGGTCTAAAATGGTTTGTTTCGAAGGTAGAAATTGACCCTGCATCTGACATTTTAATTGATCCTTTACAACCGTTAAAAGATGATTTATCTTTGGAAATCTATGAGGTCTTCGAAAAGGATATCATTAAATATGATCAATATGAGAAAGCAATCTTTCGAGCATTGAAAGACATAAATATGCCCAATGTAAAGGTTCTAGTTATAGGACCTGGTAGGGGTCCATTATTAGATAGACTTTTGAAAGTTATCAAAAAATTGGAATGCCAGTATCAGATAGATTCTGTTGAAAAGAACTCTAATTGCTATGCCATATTAAAAGAAAGGAATCTTAAAGAATGGAATGGAACTATTAATTTAATTAAAGACGATGTTAGGACCTGGAAAGATATCAACTATAATTTGGTGATATCTGAATTGCTAGGTTCATTTGGCTGTAACGAATCATGTCCCGAAATATTACAAAAATTTACAAATGAAAATACAATTATGATTCCGCAAAGTTACGAAAACTATTTACAACCAATATATTCGCCTCTTATTTCAGAGATTAAAAATGAGCAATTGGAGAGGCCTTATTTGGTAAAGCTAAATTCATTTTATAACATGAGTGGCATACAACCAATTTGGAAATTCAACCACCCAACAAAAGACACGACTTCTAGACTTAAGGCTATTGACTTTCATGTTCCATATCAAGGGAAGATTAATGGATTTCAAGGATATTTTATAGCTAATTTATACGAAACCATTCAAATTGGAATACATCCACAAATGGAAGAAGGCTTTTGTAAGTCCTGGTATCCATTCTTATTCCCTATCCTGGAGATTCATTGCAATAGTAACTCAAATTTAAGCTTTCTAATTGAAAGGATTTCTGATAATAAGGTGTGGTACGAATGGTCCGTTAACAATAAAGTTTATAACAAAGATGGATTATATTACTCTATAGGTTTATAATGAACTATTTCACTATATTTCATGACATTAACTTAGTAGGCTACGAATTGATTTGAATTTTTCGTGTTGTCTCTTTGAGATGAATGTCTATAATCGTTCAATTCAGTGGTATTGGAATCCTTTTCTCTTGAATGATGACGTGAACTATTCAGTTTTGACCTTTCTGATTTCGAGTGTCTGTGATTTGAATGATTCAGCTTTGAAATTTTGTCATTAGCAAGTTTATGCTTCGAAGAATGCCTTTTGGGAGATCTATCTCTAGACCGATGCCTGTCTTTCGAACTATGTCTATCTTTCGAACTATGTCTATCTTTCGAACTATGTCTATTTGAGTCTTTTGCGGCCTGGTATTTCTTTAACTGTTCATTTTTTATCCTTAATAGAGGATCATTCTCAATATTCTTGGGACCATTGTTAGAAGCGCTTATTGCTTCTTCAAACCTGCTTGTCTCTTGAGTGTCGATATACTTATTTCCGCTAAGCATATTTTCGACTTTTCTCTTACCTAACAAGAACTCATCATCCATGTCATTAAACTCGCTGTTTGATTTATTTTTCGACTTCGAATCATCATACATCCAGTTAAGGTTATTGAGTTCCCTTTTGACTTCTATCGGAATATCTTTGGCATCACCGTATTGTAAGTTGATTAATTCTTGTTTTTCTTTTTCTTTTTTTAATTCTTCATTTTTTGCCTTAATCTTTAAATGTTCACTCAAAGCTTCTTGTTCCTGTTCCCAGAGCTTTTTCTGGTTTTTCATTAAGCCAGGATGCCATGACTTCTTTAAATTTAAATCTCCTGGCATGTTGATAAATTAAAGATATAAATATAAAATTTGTGATCTGTGGGCCCTTTTAAAACTTACAATACAAACTGCGAGAATGTGTGCTTACATTTAAATTCAAACTATAAAGGCTGTATTCCAGCTATCTTAATCGACTATATGCAATATAGACCATATATACACAGATGCCGATAGGAACCTAATATTTACTACATAATAATAAACGTTCACAATAATAGCGTTATCAAGTTAGAAACCATGAATCTTGATGTTCTTCTTTGGTAATTGTAACTGAGAAATCAAAAATTCACTTACCTTAACTCTTTGGTCACCTTGTAATTGAATAACCTCACCTAACTCTTCATCTTTGACGATGTTACCGTTACAAGCGAAATCTTTCTTTAAAACCTTCAAAATCTTCTTCAAGTCATATTCTTGTGGTAAACCTTGAACTGTAGTTAACGTTTTACGACCATTACGTTGTTGGATACGAATATGGATGTAGTTTGTTGGTTGAGCTTCAGAATCACCAGTATCGGCGAATGGATCTATATTTTGTTAGTATATGTGTCTTAGTGTTTTATATATTTATCATTCTTCCTATGCGTCATAGGCTCCATTTCATCACTAATAATACATACCAAAGGCGTTTAAGTTTTGGATAGTTGACATAAATAGGAAAAATCCGAGTTTTTCAGTAGTATATCTGTCTATTTGTCAAAATAACTAAGAGAAGAAAGCAATTAATTTTACAAAAAAAAATATTGTGTTCTTTTACTTAGATCTTTGTGACACTTTGACCTGAATGACGGTTACCCGCTTTTGATAAAGTCTTACACTTCCCTAAAGAGGTTTCCAAAGATAGCCTAGCCTACATGCTGTTTACTTATCTGTTTAAATATGTCATATATATAGATGAATAATATGTTAGGCAAGCTAGTTAACAATTTCCCCGACAAAAATCTTAACCAATTATTATTATTGATTGAGTTCAACACTTTTATCCACCTGCTGATGGCGATGTAGTTTCCACCAAGTTGTACGCTAAGAACAAGATCGAGTTGTATGACAAAATCCATACACAGATGGAAAATTTACTACCTTCGGGAGATATTGCCGATATATTTTAGTTACTAAGAATTACTACTAATTACTATAGAAGTATCAAAACTACGCTAAGGAACCCATTGGATCATAGAATGGCAAAACAGTGAAGTCTTTTCCTTTCCATACTTCATAGATTTGTTTTTCGACATAGTTTTTGTTCGTAACAATTTGATAAACGTATTCGTCAAACCACTTATCGGTCATCAAGAAGTATCCCTTATCACCAACCAGGTCACCCCAAGAGTTTTCAATTTTCCATCTAACTGGGTTACCGGTGATTGGATCCAAGTGAACGCCGGTAATGACCATTGCGTGAGTCATTTGGGACGAACCGGTTTTTAATCTCTCTGCTTTGCTAATCTTAAAAGAGGTTCCCAATGCTAAGGCATAATCATATGCGCCAACATCTAAGATACCGGTATCTCTATCATAGAATTTGGCTACATCTGAACCAAAAAATATAGGCTCGTTATTTTTCAACATCTTAATGGAGACCTTCTTAAGGGTCGCGATTTCTGTATTCACGTATTCGATTGGTTTACCACCGTGAACGTTGTTCAACCGGTCAACAGTATACAACTTGTTGTATGGGTTCCTTGGATCATGGATTAACGAAAAGTGATTCCCCACGTCAAATTTAACGTGCTCAGCATAAAACTTTTGTGGGGTAGTGTTGAAGTACTTATAGTTACCATCCTTGTCCTTGAACTCCCAAACAAACGAGTCAGTTGGCTTTGGTGGCGTTCCTATTGTCAAGGAAAGTATGTTGTAGATCTCTCTAATCATCGAATTCTTGACTAAATTGATATCTTTGTCAGCAGTCTTTTTAGATTTCAAGCTTCTTAAGATTAGGGCATACTCTCTTAGTTTTTCGGTAACAACGTAGTTTAACCGTGACGATTCTGTAGACTGTGCATTATCAGGGAAGAACTCGTAAGGAACCAATCCATACTTGTTGATGATATTAACTATCATGTCCCACTGGCCCCCATCACCAACAGGGTCATGGAGGAGAAACTGCACTAACCTGGAATCTAACGGCTCGTCGGCAGTATCAAGAATATTCTCTAGAAGAATATTCGCCTTCTCTAATTTGTCATAAAAGAACAAGTAACTCTGAGATAACTGAAACTTATCATCCTTCAAATTGTAATTCTCAATAACATGGGCACGTAGAACATTAGCTGTTGCAAAAATCCAACACCTACCTGACTTCTTCTGATTATTATTAAAAGATGGTGCCCCTATAGTTTTAACCTCAGTATTGAAGAAATGCTGGTTTCTAACCTTAGTTTTAGTATCTGAGCATCCAACAATATTGGCAATATCAAACTTGGCTAAGGAATTCTGTGCTAACTTATTCTTAGGCTCTGATAACAAAGCAGACTCCCATTGACCCAAGGAATCACAGGAAATTGGATTTGTGGCCTCGTCGTTTATATCAAGTAGCTTCAAACCTCTTGTTTCTTCTAAGTAACCTTCACCGTTTTCTGGCTCTGCTTGCAAATATTTCTCATTGAAAACCATTTCGGATTTCAATTTAGGGCTTATTTTCTCTTGCTTGGAAATCAGTTGACCCATTAATCTATAGTGTTTCTAAAGTAATTGGAATCAAGGGGTTTTATGAGACTGAGATTTAGGTTGTCGCAAAAATAGAGAACCGCTTATCGGTGTGGCTTCTAGCTTAAGAAATTTCAACCCCGATTGGTAATTCGTCCTATTATCCTTTTGCCCTATAAATAAATCACACATCTGAGCCTCTTAGCATTCAACATCTGGGCTCACCCCTCAGATTCTATTTTTGTTTATGGATCGATAAGTTGTTGTACAGACCTGTTTATGTAATCCTAATATTCTACCATAGGTGTATAAATTATCCACTTTATGAAATAAATGATGTCGTGCCTGCAGTAAGCCTAGATAATGTCATATGCTTAAGTTATTTGAACTATTTTCAACTCTAGACTCAGTTAATTGTGTTTTAAGTTCAAAACAATGTAAAGAGGGATCCCTTTTGGGCCACTCACATGTTGGTGAGAGGGGCTTCATTACAGTCAAACGCTGAAGGTAAGGAATTTAAACAAGTACCTAAGGATAAAGAGGCAGCTAAGGTAGAGGAGCTAGATAAGAAAATTGGCTGGCTGAAAGTTAGGTACGTTAATTGCAACAATAAAACAGATAGTCGCGGAAAAGACTAATATTGCAACGATAAAGCCATTCAATCCAATTTTTGTGGTTGGATATCTTAAAATATTATTTTTTGATATTCTCTTTTTATGAATTTTGATACCCATTTTTTTGATCTAAAATAAAAGCTACTTCTACATTATCTAGACAAACTGTCTCGTACATTATATCTTTTATCTAAGCTCGTCGTATTGGTATCGTTGCGATCTACACATATTGATGTTTCATTCATAGATTGGTTACCTTATAATTATCAAAATCGATAGTTAGATGCGATGCTAAGATCTGTTTGTCTTCCACATCAAATAATCGTCCAGAACGCAAGAACAAATAGAATACAATAAGAGAAATAATTATATTAAAGGTAGAGGCAACATAATTGACAGATGCTCAATAAAATTCTTCTATATGGTTCTTCAATATACATGGAATATGAAAATATAATAAAGAAAATAAATAAAATTTAATTGTTCAGTAATTTGTTTTCTTATGTAGTAGAATATTAGGATCATAAATAGGTGAAAACAGTTTGACTATTATCGTAAATCACTACAAACAATAGTGTCACAAGATAGGACCGCGTGCATGACATGCGCTTGACAAGATAAGGCAGATCTAAAATAAGAATAAAAGCCACCATGCTTGTGTTATAGTTGAGATTAAACTACAAGCTTGCTGACCTATCTACATCAACATATCCTTGACCAGCAAAATATGATAATATCAGGTTTATTTCACCCATATGGTAATTGTGAGTTTCGAATGAGGGGTATTTCTGTAAATAATATAACCATGCAACGATTCTCAGTGAATATACTTTTCTTGTAGTGCCTCGAACGTATTATACCAATTTGTGTGTTAAAGCATTGATAGCAGTGAGTAGCGACCTCCTATTACGACGAAGCTATGAATGGATGCTTTCGCTAGCTATTTTGGTTGCTCTATTTATATCAATGACAAACAGCATGAAACATTAATAAAGTGCCCATGTAGTGACGCCAATGAGTACATAGACTAGTGCAATTGTAACGCCTAAAGATATGGCTACATACTTACTATTTAGTCTATATGCACATAAAGGAACTAAATGCGGTGAGCAGACGATAGTGGTTTCAGTCATACTTTTGTTATATATTTATAGTTCTTTTTAATGACAGTAACTCGGAATATCGTTTTTTTGACCTTTATTACGACCGATAAGCTTTTTATTATGGAAAGTTTCTCTTACATTCTGTTTTATTCGCTTAAGTTATACCTAATTCCGTCCGCATTATCAGGAGCTACTTTTGCAGATCACCTACAAAACATGCTACGTTTGAATAATCTTAGCTGCTAGATATTTCTCTAAAACTATGTCAATCACTCCGTCCTTACTTCAATAAGAACCATTCTTCAGGAAAAAATGGACATGAACTTCGCACCTAGGAAGCCTTTCAGGCCAAGGTTTAATTAACAGACTTAACTCAAAGCAAAATAAGCAAACGTCACGGACTAAATGTACATCATAAACAATAAGGCATACAGAGCTAACCATAATCTAGCATGCTACACAAAATATTTAATCATATAGTATATAAAATAGTAGTTACCTAATATTGATATTAGCGCAATTTGATACTATATTTAATAATAGCGTGGTATGAGTATTTAAATGATGTCAAAAAAACGCTTGTAGAAGCATATATATAATTTAAGTAAGGTAAAATGACTTTAAATACATATAGCTGGTTTATTCTTTCGCTATTTAAGCAGTAATTGCATGCCCCAGAATACTTTTGGCAGTACATTACATCATAACATATTCAATTACATTGCAGAATTATTTTAGTAGATAACTTAGACAGTGGTTATACATACATAATTTTTTTCAGAGTTAAGGTGCGTCGCACTTAAGCTATAACTAATAAAATAAACGAATAGCTATTCAATAATTACAAATCACAAGAAATAACTAAACTAGCCATAAGGTACGAGCGATATTAATAACAACGACTCAATATATACACTAGACTAGATACAATGTCCTTTTTGTTGGTTGAAAACAAGAAGGTAATCACTATCACATGCATGTGATTCTTCTAAAATGCAACCAACAAAAGTCATGTACACCAGTATAAAGAGTTTATAAAGTTACACACTTGGTTCTAAATGTCTGAAAGCTGACGCTGTAGCATGTAGGCATAATCAATACAATACTGTGGTGAACCTGATAAACGATGCTTTGATTCGGAGTGAAAAATAGTTAGATTATGACCATGCAATAACATAATCAAAATTGCTTATATAATCAGATTATGGGAATTGTCAGAAAAAAATAGACAAATGATTGTATTTAAGAGTATTAAAGTAATTAATTGTTTTTATTCAATTACATTTTCCAACCAATGTCTGATATAGTTAAGAAGAAGGAAGACATCAAGAATTCTTCGATTGATACGAAGGATGCGAAAGATGTGACTGCTAAGGACCCAAAAGAAAAGGCAACATCCCTGACGGTGACCCACGAACATGAAAAGAAAAAGCAAGCATTTGTTACGAGGACTATATGGACAATTGTAATGATAGCATTTTTCTTCACGGTTTTGTTGTCAGGACATCTTGCTTTGATTAGTCTTGTTTTTATCTTTCAAGCGTTAACTTTCAGGGAGATCATAAGTTTAACTGCTGAACCAGCTAGAGATAAAAAATTGCCATTCAACAAATTGTTGAACTGGTATTTTCTTTTTGCTACCATCTACTACTTGGATAGCGAAAGTTTTTTTAACTTTTTCCAGGAATCAATTTATGACAACAAGGTCTTATCATTATTAGCAATTCATCATAAAATTATTTCATATACGTTCTACATTGCAGGATTCATTTTCTTTGTTGCGACATTACAGAAAGGCTACTACAAGTTTCAGTTTGCTCAATTGTGTATGACACATACGACTTTGATATTAGTGGTTTTCCAAAGTCATCTTATTATTGATAATATTTTGAATGGATTAATTTGGTTTTTCTTGCCGGTAGGATTAGTTATTGTTAATGATATTTTTGCTTATCTTTGTGGGATTACCTTCGGTAGAACTCAATTGATTGCGATTTCTCCGAAGAAGACTGTTGAAGGCTTTGTCGGTGCCTGGATATGTACTGGTCTCTTTGCATTACTTTTCGCATTCTTTTTATCGAAGTCCAGTTATTTAATCTGCCCAGCTACAAACTTGACTACAAATATCTTTAACTATCCAAGATGTGATCCAAACCCTGTTTTCATTTCTCAAATTTATCAATTACCTGCCAATTTGGTCGATATTTTCCATTTTGAAACTATTTCATTGAAACCAATTTATATTCACGCATTAAACTTTGCTACGTTTGCTTCATTAATTGCCCCATTCGGAGGATTTTTTGCCAGTGGTTTAAAAAGAGCTTTCGGTATTAAGGATTTTGGTGATACTATTCCAGGTCATGGGGGTATTACAGACAGATTAGATTGCCAATTTTTTATGGGATCCTTTTCTTACTTGTACATTCAAACCTTTGTTTCTATCAGCCACGTCAATATTGGTAACTTACTTCAACTAGCCATTATGAATTTGTCTATCCCTCAAGTAGTTCAATTGGTGAAGTCCTTGTTGAAGTATTTAAATAATTCTGGTGTTATTGATGATAATAATTTAGCAAAGATTTTCGAAATATTAGACGTTACTCTTTAAAATTAAGGAAATATTCCATTTCCTTCTAATCGAAGTAAATAATTATTTTGTGATGAAACTCTTTTGTATAGTTTACAATATAAATAATATAAATAATTAATATAACTCATCGAACTCTAAGATGTACCAAAATTCCTTATTTTAGTTTCAATATTCTTCAAATTGTTAGAATCAAAACCTTCCAGATCTTAATTATTCGGAATATTCGTTATACGTATTTCTTACAAGGATGTATCAAAAGCTTACAACAAGTCTTTCACTCGCTGTAACCGCTCTAAACTATATAAAATGTAAAAATCTGGCTCAAGTTCCAGCATGGCTTTTCTTGTTAATTTCATGAAGCGCTGGATCGATTGTTTATTGTTTCTCACGAATCAAATAGGCTACCAATCATGGCGTAAAATTCAGTTGGTGCATACTAAAAATTTACATCTCTCTATTCCTCCAGCAAGAGTTCTTATAACAATAGATGCTGTGCCTGGCTTAACGTTCCATCCAGCGCGACATGTAAAATCAAATATCGAATCCGCTAGTACTGTATGTAACATTTTTTCAAGCTTCGATTCTTCTCAATTAGGCAATGCGACTAGCATCATTTCCCTGGCTGTTGCCTATTTCGGCCTAACCAGTCTTGAATTGTAGCTTGGATTTTGCAGTAATCTCTTGATTTGATCCCAAACTGCTATAAACCAGCATATTATACATGAATCTTGATCGATGAACTTTGGTATAAATATTTGTGTAAATAACCACTTGATCTGATCTGGATTCAACCTATCTTCTTATCATTACTTAGTCATTCTTTTGTCAAACTAACTAACTACATTCTTTTAAAATATGATAAGTTCTACCTACTTTCTTTCATTCTTTTTGCTTATACAAGTAATTTTTGGTGCTCCAGTTGCAAAATTAATTACAAGAGTTCATACTGCTGATGCTGTCACTAAAATGAACACTTACACAACAGGCACAACTACTGTCAATTTACCACCAGTTGAAATTTTTATTTCAAACGGTGTCACTTATACTTTCACTTTAAACAATGAAGCTGCTGCGGCTCCAACTACTATGACTTCCATTTATACAGATGATAGTGATAACAACAACAACAACAACAACGACGACGACGAAAATAATAATAGTACACCAGCTCAGACACCTGCTGCTACTACATCTCCTTCAACAAATAATGGAGAAAATGGTTCTCCTACTGCTGCAAATTCTCCTAATGATTACACTCCTGCTGCAACAGGTAATACTCAAGACAATACCCCAACTTCAACGAGCAGCCCACAAGGCAATGCACCAAGCTCAACAAACAGTCCAGATGACACTAAGCCATCTTCAACTAACGGAGCACAAACTACTACTTCTCAACAGAATACCATTTCTTCTTCAACGACAGATGAAGAAACAACTAGCTCCACAGAATCCACAACTTCAAGCTCAGACTCAACTTCTTCAGCTTCTTCAGGAAGTATTTCTGCACCATCTGCAATTGCATATTCCCCTTATACAGACGATGGAGGTTGTAAGGACACTTCTACTATTGAGTCAGATTTAGAATTAATTTCAAGTAAAGGAATCAACAAGATTAGAGTTTATGGTACCGACTGTGGATTATACGATACTATTATTCCAAAAGCTAAAGATTTGGACATGAAAATTAACCAAGGGTTTTGGATTTCAGATGCAGGTGTAGACTCAATTGATGACTCTGTTTCTGAATTTATTGAATGGGGCTCCAATAATGGATACGATGTTATCGATTTCATCACTGTGGGAAATGAAGCTATTAACTCGAACTTCTGTTCTGTTTCTGATTTAATTAGCAAGATTAAGAGCGTCAAATCGAAGTTACAAGATGCAGGGTATAATGGAAAAGTTACTACTTCAGAGCCACCTGCTATCTTTGTCGACAACCCATCCTTATGTAAGAATTCAAATATTGATTTCGTTGGTATTAATCCTCACTCTTATTTTAATACCGTTATTGGCGCTAATTTAGCAGGCTGGTATGTCACTAGTGAACAATCTTTAGTATCTAAGGCTTGTGATATGGATGTCGTCATTACTGAAACTGGTTACCCATCCAAGGGAAGTAGTAACGGAGATAACTACCCATCTGCCGAAAACCAAGAAATTGCTATCAAATCAATTATCGAAAAGACCAATGGTCAAGTTACAATTTTAAGTACATACAATGACATGTGGAAACATCCTGGACCACACGATATTGAACAATATTTTGGGGCTATCGATTTGTTCTCTTAATTTAATTGACTCTTGCATATATTCACTTCTTTCGACTAAACTTTGCATTAACTATTTTACAATAAATATAAATATAAATACAAATATAAATATAAATATAAATATAAATCTCATATGTGTTCTGTATCATTAGAATTCTATAATTTTCTTTGGGAAGAATTCATCTATTAATTCCATGTAATAAGGTTTTAATTCTTCGACGTCATAGCTTTGATCAATTTTAGAATACAAGTCATATCCGTTAAAAGCCTTAACAGCTTTGAGCATTTCCTCATCATGTTCATCCATTAAATAACTATAAGCGTATTCTTGATGCCAGGGGTAAAATGAATGATATCGTATCATGGCCAATGCTTCTGGAGGTAATGTAGAATTTAATTTGGCTACATGATACATGTATTCATCGTGGCCCCAACTTAGCATGACTTTGTCTAGTCCACATCCCTTAGAATAAATACCGTACTTTGTATTATATAATGGATTAAAAAAATCTGGATTCTTCTTGAAACTTTCAGGAAAGATAATTTTCTTCAGAAACTTACATCCAACTGGAAATGTATCCCCAACTACATCCCATTGACCTTTAGAATCAAAAAAATATAAAAGCTTACCCAAGTCATGTATTAACCCTACTAATTGAAACCAACGGGGTTTATTATCTTTTCTAATAGCCTCTGCTGTCTGTAATGCATGATCAATTTGGGACAACTCGGTATCTGGATCACTTTCATCTAATAACTTATTCAACCTCTCAAGACCCTCCCAAACAGTCATTCTTGCTCTACTCTTTGTTTTAAAATTGATACGTGCTTGAATATTATATGCTACCGTTTGTTTCTCGTGTTGCTCTTCATAAAATTGCTTAACTCTATCACAAGCTAATTCATATTGTCGAAACGCTTTGACATCTACTGATTTCAAGTTTTCAGATTGGGTCGACCATTCCTCTTCATTCTGTTCTCCTTCCTTCTTACTGTGCGATAAATTATTTTTTATATTACCCTTTAATTGATTAACGAGAGTAACATCATTGTCAACTTTTTCAAGGAGTGGACCGTCCCCCACTTTTGTAATCTTTTGAGATATTACATCCTTATTAACCTTTCCTGTGCTTTGTTTAATCAGCATATTTGCCAATAAGGTGCTTCAACAAATAGCTAATGTTTTACGTATTTGATTTTTTTTTAAAAAAATTTTGAGAATATTGTCGTGATAAGAAGTTAAGTTGCACCCATTAAAATTATTAATATTATTATTACTGAAATATACAAGTCTATATAATTCTGTTTCTAGTTTATTGTGATTCGTCCATGCTTTTCTTTACGTTATCTTCAGTTGACTCGTATTGACTATCGTTTTGAAACTCAAGAATTTCTTTAGGTTCAGGTCTGTCTAAAGCGACAAATGGTTTACCAGAAATTCTAGAGTACAAATATGCTACACCTATTCTTAAGGCAGCGACACAGAAACAGATTAGAAGACCTCCAAATGGAGCAATTACAAAGGCACCAAATGGGCCCCAATCAGCATCATCATAAATACCGTTCCAGACCAACAATAACTTTCCGCCTTCTTTTGCAGACCCATAATAAACAGTTCCAAAAATAAATACACCAAGCAAACCACCCAAACCACCAGACATGACATCTATTCCTCTCAAGAACCAAAAATAGGTATCACTTAATCCCAAAAAGATTACTGGGATAATAGCTGCAGATACTAAATCGGCTATCAAGTATATTTGTAAAATGTCATCTGCGACTTTGACTGCAAGCACAACAATAGGAACCATAATTAAAACCACTAAAACTCTAGTATAATTAATGTGTAACTTGTTACGGAAAAGATCATTAGATATGGTTGAAACCATTGCCGATTGTAATGAATCAAATGTACAAGTTGACAAAGATACAATAAATATTAAAATGAATGCAACTAACCAGCCTGGCATTTTAGATAACAAGATAAAAAATGCGTTGTAACCATTTTCATCTCCAACAACTAAATCCCCTGCCCAAACAGCTAAAAATCCTGTAGTACCAACTAAAGTACAAATTACAAACGTAACGAATGAAGCAATCGAACATCCAATCCATAAATCCTTATTAGTACGACTGGCAAAAGTTCTTAACCAGAAACCTGCCATAAAACAATCATTTGTTAATATAGCAACAAATAAAATATAAAGTAATTGCCAGCCTAATTTATTAGCTTTTAACAAACCAGACTCGCCAACTTTTGATTTATCAATATCGATGTAAGAGCCCATTCCAGCTGCACAAATGACAACTAATAATAAAACAAAGACCCCTTGAAAGTTATCAGTGACGAAACTTACTTTAAACCCACCAATAGAAGTATAAATGGATGTGACTACACATTCAACGATTACAGCAGCCAAAGCGTTTAATCCTGTCAAAGTCTCGATCGCAGATCTAATGGCAGAGAGCTCTCCAACCATAAATAAGAACATGGTTAAACAAGTGAAGAAAGATAAGTATAGAGCTGTAACGATACCAAATCTTTGCCTTACCCACTCAGTTAACACGAATCCATCTGGACACTTTCTTCTGATGATAGGCCCAAAGTATGCAAATCCTAAAATTGGAATAGATCCACAGAGAGTATATACCAACAAGCCGTGTAATCCAGATATATTACCAATTTCTGCATACGTTGTGAGAATACCACATCCCATAGCTGTATAATGTTAATAACTATCATCTTGTATGGTGTGTGCAATAACAACAAAACTTCCTCACGCAAGCACTAACTTGATCGAGTTCGAACGGTTTATTCTCAGTCCTTCCATTTCATTAAACTTAGACACAATGACATGGAAAGACACCCGCTAGTCTTATTGTTAAGAGACATATTTTACGTGAATTAACAGAATCCGAATAAAATTAATTGGTTTTTAAAGATTTTTCACCCCCATTAGTTGTTACTTGACAAAAGAACTCTATGCTACTATCACATACAGCTGTTAAAAATGTTACATACCTGAAGCAATAAAATTTAAAGCTAACGGAAGTCCTCGCTGCGTCCCATTATAAGATAAGAATGTATTTGCTTTAGTATATTTCCAAGCGATGAATAGACCTGTAGCTAAAAGGAAAGCATAAGTTAAATAGATAATGGCATTATTACCTTGAGATGATAATTGTGCCATATCGACTGTCTATCTTCTTATGTGAGTTATAAAGTATAAAGATTTTTCAATCATTGATTAATTGCAAACAAAAACCTTATTAGCGATAATTTAAAATGCGCTTAAGCCGTGCAATCTGCGTATGCGCTTAGAAGTAAAAGGAAACTCGAGTGTTGATTGAGAAATTTTGAAAAAAAAACAATTGCTCCACGGCAGGTTCGAACTGTCGACCTTCAGATGACACAATTATACAATTATGAGACTGACGCTCTGCCAACTGAGCTAGTGAAGCAATATGAGATTTTTTAATATTACAAGACTTTTTGAAGGCTTCTTAAAGAAATTTAGTAACCTGTAGTAATTTGGAATAAATATGGTGAATATATTAAATTCCAAGCCTTATGTAGAGCATTATTCGCGTTAACATTACTTGTTTAAAATAGTCAAGGGATACAATGCACAAAAACAGTGTAATTGGGCAAACCAACGAATTCTAATAATTCATGTATGTATTTACCAAAGTAGAGAGGCTTAGTACATGATTCCCTACTATACATAAACTGTAGGCAGGGGTAAACCATAATTAGCCTATCATATCATATTAGCATAAATTTTGGATTATCTATTTTGATGTGATGCTTGTTAACATGATTGGCCAATATTACACAAAAGATTCGCTTATCAGTTGATTTGAGATCGTAATTCTGACTCAACCTACTTATTTAAATTTGATACTTCATTTATTGACAATACATTGCCGTTTACATCAACCTAACTTTTAATACATATAGATGTACTCGTTTCATACGCTGAAGAAACTTCGTTTCACTCAGTGTGCTTGCGCAATTATTTGGTCCTTATTAGCGGCTGGTCCTATATTTGGATTTGCTGCATTAAAACCGATATTAATACTTGAAAAGGTATACGAGAAGGAATGTGACATATCTATAAATTCCACTAGTTATTTGAACAACTTTGCATTAGATCCAAATACATTCGGGTCTCTAACTAGCCATTTAATTTCTGAAATGAGTTTATCGAGCAACGAGAAGAGTCCTGTTGCTAAATGTTCTGCACAAGATCTTAAATTGAATATGATGTTCACAATTGGGGCAGTAATGACTAATGCATCCGCTTATTTTATCGGGAGAATACTAGACAAGTATGGTCCAAAAGTATGTGGCTTTATCGGGGCCGTGTTATTATACTTCGCATGTTTTGTCTTCATTTTTGCTAAACAAATTGAAGCCCTTAATTCATCTTACTTCGATCCATATATGATAGGATATACAGCCTTAGCATTAGGTGGGCCATCGACTTATATGTCATCGTTTCATTTATCCAACACATTTCCAGAGAGAAGCGGAACAATATTGGCA